CCCTATGAAAGGTCATTGGATGTCCACATAGGGGTGCAGCTATAGTAATCTCCCAGGTAGCAATGGAGCAAATTTGCATATACGTGAATATTCATGTAAAAGGAAAACCGCAGCATTTTCCGCGGATTACCGATATTGCAGTTGAGAAGCGGTAGGCTCATTCTCCCATGTCCCTAGATTGATCTCAGAGAGCAGAGTTAGGATGAGAAATAGAGAATTCCTGATGTAGATCTCTCAACTTTTCGTCCTAGTCTCCCGATCAAAAGGTTGTGGTCCTCGTGGCCACGGGCGACGAAAATTAAAAGCGAAGGGATGCCCCAGATTCACCTCACTAGGGGAACCCTACGCTCTCCATGCATTCTGCGAGAATTGCCTGGAATCTCTTTGATCATTAAAAAAAACTTTCTTAAATGAATTAATGGACTACAGACCCGTTGGGCTGTCTTGTCCCTTCCTCAAATGCCTCGAGTACATGATATTAGAAAAACTTCAAAAAGTTATAAATCAGAATTCCAGAGATAAAAATTAGTTTGCATGCAGCAAATCTTGCAGTAAATCTGACACCCTTGCGACTCTGCTTCGTCATGTTGTGAAAGCTCAGGACGACAGGACTGCTAGTGTTATTCGAACATTATTTCTCGACTACAATTTGGCCTTCTGCTGCATCAACCGGGGAGACATCATTCGTAGTTTCATCACAATTTAGGTATCAAGAAGATTGCTCAAACTTGTGGTGAACTTTCTCTTAGACAGCACTCAGTATGTCAATTTGGGCAAGAAGAAATCCGCTGTTTAGGTTTCGGTCACAAGAGTAGTTTGGAGTGCAGTTCTGTGATCTCAATTTAATTATTTGTAACTGATCCACCCATGGTGACTGAATCAAACAATATCATTTTAAAATTTGCAGATCATACAGTTATCTATTCACCATCAACAAGCAAGAAGATTTAATGGTAAATCAGCGAGAAATTTAACTTGTTCTAACCTGGTCGGAAGCTCAGATTTGATCTTGAGCCTAACAAAATCTGTAGAAATATTCTTCAAATCGAAGAAGAAAGCCCCTCAGGAATAGCGGACACCAATAAAAATCGGACTCACTTCGGTAGCTGAGTCGTACAGTACGAAATACTTGGGCATGGCCATAGGCTCTTGTTCGACTTTTAAGAACCAAGTCGGAGTCGTCTACAAGAAGTGCTTTTCAGGATCATTATTCAGCGTCTGTTTTACTCTCTTTGTGGCTTTTTGCAATGACTCCGTCCCTCGTAGCGATTCGCAAGAAATGCAATCCAATAAATAAAAATTTCTCCAACCCAAGAGATTTATTCCTTTAACAATTTTAGACAATTACTCCTCGCATTAATATTTTCAGAATGTCAACATGAACCACAACCAATGAAACCACATTTTGCTCTTGGAGCAGGATTCATCAGATGATCACTCCTCATGTAGCTTCAGCTCCTCACTCTCATATTCTAGCAACATCAGTCACTATGAACTGCAAAACTAAGAAAACAAGTTTAGTTAATTGAGACGTTCTCAAATCCAGAGAATAAATATTTCCTGAGGAGGGCATATTGAATGCACAGTAGCAAAGTGTACTGTATAGCTGTTGCACTTCTATTATGAGTATATTGAGGATCTGTACACTATAATGTGTGGATCTGTACACTATAATGAAATCCAGTGAGCCTTTATTATTTAAATAAATAATGGAGAGCTGCAAAGGTTTGCTTTTAACTTCAGTTTCTCTTTTCAACTGTTATGATGTTATGCTTACAATAAATTTGCATCTCAATATCAAGAGGAAAAGCTGAAATACTCAAATGCTAGATGAATGGGCCAGATACATTATACTGGGCTATCCTTAAGTAAGTGATGGTTCTTTTCTCTTTAAAAATTGCATTTAAAGTATAACTGAGACAAACCATGCAGAAATTCAAATATGTTTGGAAATTGTAGAGTAGTAAAAAAAATTTCAGAATTAAAATTCCAGTCTTCTCAAGGAGTCGGATAACTTAACAAGACACTTTGTTAACCAAAAACTCCTCTAATTCTCCATTACTCCTAAGTTTCACAAAAATGGGTATTTGAACGTAATGCCATAGAAACCAACTGAGTCAAGTGAAAAGCTAACTCAGTAAACTTTAATGGAAATTTATCAATTTATTTGCTGCAGACATTCAGCATATATTTTCTCTGAAGACTACATACTGGTTGAACATGTCATTAAATAATATTCATCAATCAATTTAATTGTTTTGAAATTCATAGTCTCTGAAGTCTCATGAGAAACAAAAGGGGATTCGCAAAATGGTTAGGTTATTGCACAGAAGCTTGTTAGCTGGGCTGCACAAAATCCAGCTAATAATACCAACGGGCCCATGCGTGGATGGGAGACCACTTTACGTTGAACTGCAGGTAGAATTGGTTTAGTCCTGAGAATATCATGTAAAAAAATTTCGGGAATTTCCGATTCATATTAGTAAAAATTTCCGACAAAGAACATGTAATCTGGATTTCGCCTCATGCTCGGAAAATATTTCCTGCATTTCTTCGGAAACCCCACTTCGTCTTCTCTGCGAAATTTTCCCCTTCCCCTTCACAAAATATTTACGTCAAGGGATATAAATCCGAATTCCGACGTTCGAGCGGACGACCCTTTTCCTCGTTCGCGTAAGAAAAGCCTGATTCGAATATTCGGCGAAATATCCTTCGTGATCATCCAGACCTTTCGCTATTGGCACCTGGAAGAAGCCACCAGATACCTTTAGTTTCCAACCCGAACGATAGATGACTCCCACTAGCCTCCGATATCGCCTTATATATGTCACCGTGATGCTTCGAAAAACATACAGCTTTGATTCTCAAGAAGAAAGATTTTTTAAGGTGTATTTCCCTATCGGATACAGGGGAGATGAAGAGCATGACAGCTTATTCTTCCCGTTAGGAGAGGAACTGCTCCGAAACGATAGACGCCCTGCCTCACCGACATCCTATGCAAGTAGCCATGGGGTGATCCAAAACTCGTCCATTGACAGTCCAGTTGTCCAGAGATGGATATAAGTCCAGAGGCGATCTTCCGTTGGATTTACATATGGTACCATCGCCATGGATCGATATATTCTCATGCATTCTGAGCTTTATTCGAGCGGAATTCCTCTACATCGAACACTCAATTATTTCCATCTTTTTGAAGGTTTCATGGAATGGTGTTACGAGGATCCGATCGAGGGATTTATTTTGTTCTTTTTTTTCTTTTAATCTCCCATCTTAGGTCGCAACCCAATAACTTCAATCAACACATTGATCGTATGACGTTATAATTGGACCAGTGCACGATTTCATTTAGATTTCGGCAATAAGAACGAAACGATGTGTCAGTGCTTCTTTTGGCATCCATTGGACGTCCAGCAATGGAACCTCTAAGAACAACTTCATATGGTCTTCCATTGGATGTCCTTGGATTGAATCCCTGCCCCGTTGAGGCCTTCCATCTGACCTGACATCTAGCAGTTCAATCAAGGAATACAAAGTTCCCATAATATAAGCGAGGTCACGCTCATCCCGCCACTTCATGTCTTCCAATATCCAAAATGCTAACGAATTGTTTTTGCGGAAGCTTTCATTCTCTACTCGATAATTTTCCACGTACAATCCAAAGGAATGAAGTCATTCTAATGAATTGATTTGTTGAGAGACATTACATAGCTCAAGGAAAATCCTGGCAATTCTTGCACATTGCATGGTGAGCGTGTGGTTCCCCTTGTCAAGTAAGTCTATACCTTCCTCATATGAGCCTATGGGGGGATGGAGAAAACAATGTCTTGATTGGAAGATAAAGACGGGAAGTGCAGAGCTTCGGCTCAATAATACGTCTCTTTCCATCCAAGCACTCCTCTCCTAGTTCCTCCACGTTACATGAGAGGGCGAGATTGACAATATGCAGAAAATGTTATTTCCCCACACTCTGAAAATTCACCAGCATGCAAATTATGCTCCATAGCTACCTGGGGAATGCTATCGCTGCACCCCTCAATGGTCATCCAAAGGCTTTCTCAAAGGGAATCTCCAATGGAACAATAGTTCTTCCAATGGGCACGTCCAAGGATTTTCCTTGGACGAGACATTTAGTCATCCAGGGGATGTCCGAGGAGGATATACATTGGATGTCCAAGTGTCCTTGAGGGTGTCCAACTTGCTAATTGGGTGGCTGACGGCGGCCCTCACTTCTTGGACCAAAGTATGAAAGATGCAAAACAGGGTCATTCTCCTCTAACACTCTCTCTTTGAGAAGAGAGAGGGGGCGTGAATGGATCGCGATCTCGAAATTGATTAAATGGAGGTACTGAATAATCACGTTAGTGAATAGAACTTACTGCTTCCCCATGATAGGGATGAACCCAATACTTAAAGAATAGTTAAGTCGCGTAATGGTAAAGAAGCCCAAATATCATGCAGTATTTCGAATGGAAAATGAGCCGTATTTCAATAATGAAGGCAATTAAAGGAAAACCCGAATGAGACGAAAATTACTCCCGTGAACGGAAACCCGATTCCGACAATGGATTGAAATTTTCCGAAAAATGAGAGGAAAGCTCCATTACTCGCTTAGGTCGGAGAGATCGATTCCCGGGTTTTATCGGAACAGCATTTTTACGATAAAAAATAGGAGACGTGGTTTCCGCTATGAATCGGAATCCGCTTCTCCGAGCATTAGACGGAAACCCTGTTTCCGATGCCTTAGTCGGAATTATTTTTTACAGTGTAGGTACTACCCTGGCCATCCGCATTTCAAGGAGTTTAGATCGCCCTTTGAGAGCAGACATTCAAAAAGCAACGACAACGGAGTCGTCCTGTTACCAAGAATGGTATTCGCCATCCAAAAGCCAACACATCAAACTTGAAAAAATTATTTTTGTGTACATTTCTAAGAGAGATTTTGGTTATTGTCCCAGACTCATGTCTATAGTACTTTGTTGCATTATTTTGTGTTGTAACTCATGCGAGGTGTTTGACGACCAGAATCCATTGAAATAAACCGCCAATTAATTTAACTCAATTCAATTCAATAGTCTCAATGATACTCAAGCAGATGACTTCACCACATTTGTGGCATAGAACTAAGAATTTGGAAATGGGAATCGCAGGGATATATGTCGACGCTATCCATTGGTGGGATTGAGCTTTTCTGTAGATTTTCTGATTTGTCTGAAAGCTGACTTGTCCATATCGAGACATTCCTGTCTATATCCTGAGTCTACCGTCACAGAATGATTTTGCAAAAGTGGAGAAAATGCCTTTTTTTCTCTTAATCTTGTCCTGAATGTTTCCATATTGTTTCTCATTACTTTTGACGGAAGCGTGTATGCCAAGTGATTGACTGCAAAATAACGAAAGGATTTATTAGAGTGTAGGTGGAAATCCCCTTGGCCACTCAGGCACGCGTTCCTCGAGAAAGGTTGATGCCCCTTCCCCCACCCCGGTCGATTTTGAAACATGTGGACATCTCTCATCAGGGGAAAATACCCCTAAGGGAAAATCCACCTGATACCTACCCACCTGACATGTGGACATTTTGTAAGGGTGAACCTGAAGCAGCAGAAAAAACTTGGGTTTCTGAATCTAAAAAAGTTTATTGATGTCTCTAAGCATATACCGTGAAAAAAAAATATATAATTTTCTTCTGTTTGATTTATTTCGTGAAGTAATTTTCACCTTTTCTTCTTCTTCCTCTGGAATATCAGCGTGTGATAGAGCACATATATTGAACATAGATAAGTCAATACTTGACGGCGATGTGCTAGAAAGGGGAGTGCCAAGTGAGCACAAAAATTCTCCCCTCATAACTGGTTGGTCAATAACAGATGGATGTGATGATTCACTTATTCATGTTGGTTACTTACGCGAAAAACGATTTTACGTTAATTGAATTTACATGTAATGAGAAACGTTATGAGGAAGTATTAGTTAAACAAAGTGACATCAGAGTTGTCGTTCGTGTTAACGTATCCCTAGTTAGTGCGAAATTACCATTTTATAACATTAAATATAACAATATAACATTTAAAAATTTCAAGGAATCACTAATGAAGTCCTCACTGCACCTGTTAGTACAGGTGAAATAAATCACTAAGTCGTTTATTGCGGAGGAAAGGAGGGTTATTCTTTCGCTTGTTGTGCTTTCCCAACTTGTGTTTATTTGCAATGACCATTGAATTTTGTAATAACGCATTTCCTTCCATCAGGTAACATGGCAAAAGTTATGGGATCACTAGAAGGACATATCCTGCCAGGAGCCATGTTCATGATGAGTTCCATATGGGCCCTTGGGAACAATCTCGTGAGATGGCATCGAAGACGGCTGAATCCTTCCTTGCCTCCTTACCGAACTGCTTTCCGATTCCCAGTGCGTGGAAGACAAGGGGTGGACGCTGGCTTCATCTGCCTCTTACTTGTTGTCGGAATCATAGGTCTCTGAATCGCTATGGATTTTAAAAATAGATAATGGAAACATGAATTGGAAGTTTGGGATTCTGTCTCCTAATATTTAGGTTTCTGATTCTAGTGATGGTTCTGAAGTGCAACAACAGAATCGGGAAAGTTGCAGGCCTTTTTCTGAAACGATAGGGTTTGTCATATATGGGCTTTCAAAGGTACATACATGAGAATTGGTATTCATGGATAGTCTGTGGATTGGGATGAGGAGGGGAGTAGGTTGAGGAAAGGGTAACGCTTGGAAATATCAATAGTTATCACAATACTCCATCATGAAATGGACTGGAACCCAACGAAACTTGCCTTAAATATTTCTGTAAATACTTGGAAGCAAAAGCTGCTCATGAAGGACTGCCTACAATAAACAATCAAGTGTCAGAATTTTTCATTCAAATGTGACATCTTCCTTCATAGTGTTCTGTTTATATGGCATTCATGGCCTATGGTTCAGAAATATTTGCTTCCCGCGATTGGCATGTGATTTGATGCCTCATCGTCTAGAAACTCCTTTGTATATCTGTCATGTTTGAACATAACGAGTCATTTGACGGTTGGAAAAGGAATTTATGATTTCCGCTTTCTCAGATTTATTGAATTGCAAGAAATACATCTTGCAAGAATTGCAAGATGTACCAATAGCGACACACAATCTAAAAGACAGATTCCCGGTTCTTCAACCAAAATCCACCTAATTAAATTTCGTTGTTTATAATTCCGTAACAACGAAAAGATGCCGAGGCTCTATCGAATTCTATTTACTTTATGCAACAGGAATGATAGAAAATTTCTAAGCTATTTCTGCGATCATTATACTGCTTTGAGGTGAGGTTAAGAGGATGGCCGGATATCATAGAAAGAAGGGAGCTGGAATGGCTACAAATTTAAACTTGCAAATGTAAACTTTTATGTTTAAAATTTTTGCTGTCATCTCAGTGAAAAAAAGCCATATTCGATAAACATCTTTTTACGTACGCTACCAGGCCATTTCTATAACCGTATCATTGTGTCTCGGTACAGGGGAAGCCATATATGCAATTGACAAGACTTGGAGTTGGGCGTCTCTGGGAAACGCTCAGCATATATGCATGTACTCTACCTTCTTCCTCTTTTATTTCACCGGAGTGTTGATTGATAAGGGGTATCCCATTCCACCGTATGCTGATGATGCCTTCCTGATACTTGCACTGACTGTGGAACGGCTCTTGTTCATCAACCACCTCCATGGCCGTCCTTCACTGGATTTCCTAGTAAGTGGCCATGAACTGCCGCAGTCCATGACTCTGTGTTCAGGTATTCTCTTTAAAAAAGGTGAGGATGATACATAGCAGATGAAAACATAATTGTTTTTAATTCATAGCCACACGGAGACAGGGATACCTGCTCGAATAGGTCAATATTTTTTAAAATGCACATTGGTGACTTATTTAAAGACCTTTGGATTCATTGAAGATAACAATTTGAGGTCATATTTACAGATGCACACTTTGCTCGGAAACGTGCTGACAGCTGGTATAATTTTGGCATTCCTGAACGCCTGGAAAAGGTCCCAGGTAATTCTGGGCGTTGCCTTAGTGTATACGCTGCTCGTCCAAGGAACCTGGTTCTGTCAAATCGGCATCTCCCTGTATTCTCCTTGGAGGAATAGATGGAACATGGAAAGCCATGATCACATGACCATCATGACTGTGATCTTCGTAGCCCACTTATTCATCGATGCCTTACTCATCCTGATATTTAACAGTGTCATTGCATCCTGGTCGCGTGGACAAGGACGTCCTCGAAAAGACTCAGAGGTAAGAATATTTTCTCAAAGGCATCTAAATAGAGATAAAAACTGAACTGGATCGAGTGCAGACAATGTGTGAGCCGCCCGACTAATTCATCCGATTGCGGTTTCACGATAGCTTCCAACTAGCATACAATCTAGGAATAAAGGTACTTAGGAACAAGTTTTGTCCCAAGAGATAGGCAAACCCTTGCATTCTAAGGAATCAGGGTTTAAAAAAATTCCAGCTCTCCATGTTCAGCCGCTTGGATAATATTGATAGAACGCTATCAGACACGCATATGACGAAGTGCAATTTTCTTTGGTAGTCAAATCTTTTCTGTTGCAAGATTCTTATGTTGATTCATATGTTAAGTCTTCGGCTCACCTTACTTCGGCTTGAATAAGAACCACCTAAAATGTTCCGGTTATTAAACGGACTATTGATGCAAACTAAAAGTTCTCCTTTTCCGGGAAAAAAGACGGATGCTGTAATGGCAAGAGTAGCTGTTGGAGAAGGCAGACGTCACCATGAAAGAGACGATGCCTTGGAAAACAAAAAACTCAAGTTTTTACATTTTAAAATAAAATATGCATTGCTATAGAGAGTACAAACATGAACTATTGTGGTATAAATATTGCAAGAAAAATAATTCAGTGAATATTAATCGGTCCTTATACAGAAATGAAACCGGATCAGGACTTCCAAGCAACATGTGAATTATTTATTTCGGTCCCGTTGTACCCTTGAGCACTAGTGTCAATGTCATATAACATGTCGCTGTCGCTGCCATCGAAAAAGCACGCCGGCAATGAGCCGAAAAACATGATAAAATGGCTATGGCGTGGAGGATACTTACTATAATAAGAAGGATAGGCATGAACTGCCTAAAATGCTCAAGTTGTTCCACAGAAAAATGGTGAAAGTGAAAATTTATATCTGTTTCAGGTGAGACAGAGACTGCTTTCGAAGGAGTCGCTGGATGAGAAGTCTGGCGCCATCTTGAGAGAGACATTCCCTTGAAATACAGTTGATTCAACTTCAGAAATTGTGATGGTCGAAAATGTACAGTTACATTAAAACATGAAGGGTTAGGTATGGACATTGTAATCAAAAGAATGACATGAGGATTAACTGGTCCTTCCACAAAAAAATAAATAAAAAACAGGATTTGGAATCTCCCAGCAAATGTCGTTGAGCTCCTGGAGCACTCAAGTCAATGTCATCTCACATGTCGTTGTCGTCGTTGACATCGTCTCAGACAGGAAATTTTTTAGATGTAAGGCGTGAGACCAGTGCAAATTCAGATTATTCTTAACTACTTTTTTTTTCACAGCCAAAATCAATGCTGGCTTACGGAGAGTAGTCTTGTAGTCTTATACGGGGGTGTTTAATCGGAATTCATTCCGTACACCGATATGAGAGCATATGCAACCATTAATCAAGCGTAACTGTAGCCAAGATATCCGGAGGTGGAGTGGGGGAGGAAGAACAAAAACCTAGGGGAAATTCGCACTTACAATACTAACCATGAGATTTTATTTCATTCGTAATCCTGGGGAAATGGAGCTTACTCTATCAACTCTTCACTGCGAACGAACGCTAGGCTACTGAACAACAGTATATCAGCCAGAGAGGGGGGAAGCTTAGATTTTTCTCTAAGAGAAACGAGAAAGATATGCCCCGCAAAAAATTACCAGCACGGGCTTTGACGAGAGTAAAGATACAGAACCAGTACACAGATAATAATGGAATCGTGCAACATCATTTTCAAGGTACTCTTTGGTACCTACTCGAAGACTCTTGAATTGTTATTATCGATTCCCTAAAAAAGAACTATTAATTTAATCCACCTTTCACGCGGAACTTGAGAGTTGGAACATCGGTGCAGAGCTGAGGGAGAAAACTACAAGGGCTCAACGTTTGGAACCAACGTAGGGATCCACATCGCACGCTTGGGAATCCGATATAGTCCCGACGATGGGCCGACGTGATTGTGCTGCCTGTGGCGGTGACAGCGTTCTAATGAGTCGACAGAACTTGAACCGGTTCAACGCAGAACTATCGCACTTTAACTCACACTTTTATTATGGATGAAACCAACCGGGACCCCTGGGACCCCAAATCCAAGCAGCAGTCAATGCAGGGGAGGCGCAAAGACCCACTCAGGAAGTTTCGGATTCAGGCCTCGGCTGGCAAATTCATGAATATGATTTTCTTGGACACAATGGCACCCATTCTTAGTAATACAAGGTCTGTCCCAAAAGTGTCCGAACTTCAGTTACAAATCAATTTCCCATGTGATATTTATTATTTTTATTATTGATTATTCAAAATACGTCCCTTCCGAAGAAATGCAGGCTTTGCAGCGATCATACAACTTTTGGAAACACCTCTGGTAGTCTTCCTCCGAGATGGCGGAAATAACCTTGGTCGAAGCCTTTTGGATGTCCAAAATCGTGTCGAAACGCTTTCCTTTCGGCTTCATTTTTAGTTTGGGGAAAAGGAAATAATCACAGGGTGCCAAATCAGGCGAATAGGGCGGGTGGTCAAGCACTACGACTCCTTTTGAGGCCAAAAAGTTCCGCACAATGATGGACCTGTGAGACGGAGCATTGTCGTGGAGGAGAGACCAGCTGCCTGTTGCTTGGTATTGAGGACGGACCCGAGCAATTCTGGCCAGCAAACGCTTCATAACGGCGAGGTAGTATTCGCCATTTACCGTCTGGCCTTCTGGAACGAACTCCTTGTGGATAATCCCAGCCGAATCAAAGAAAGTGATTAGCATTGTTTTCACTTTTGACTTCTGCATGCGCACTTTTTTTGGTGTTGGTTCTTCTGGAGTCTTCCAAACTGAGCTCTGGCGCTTCGTGAGTGGCTCATATTGAAAACACCATGTTTCATCGCCAGTTACAATGGTTTTTAAAAAGTTTGGGTTATTATCGGCGATTGAAATGATGTCTTGGGCATGCAGCACTCTGGCTTGTTTTTGATCGTCGTCCAATGAGTGCGGAAGAAATCGCGCACAGACTTTTCGCCGCTGCAAATCTTCGGTCAAAATGCGGTAAACTTGTGATTTACTGATACCTATGATATCCTCAATGAGTCTCACGGAAATGCAACGGTCGCTTTTGATCAAATCACGCAATTTTTCCACTGCTTCGTCCGTTCGACTGGTCAAAGGGCGCCCGCTGCGTTTATCGTCTTCCAACTGTTCTCTACCATTCCGAAACTATGCATACCACTCGTAAACTGTTGTACGTGATAGTGCTTGTTCCCCATAAGCCTTCCGTAACATCTCGAGCGTCTCCGTAAATGTTTTCCCCAATTTTACACAGGATTTGATGCTAGCTCTCTGTTCCATGGTGATTTCTCGACGAGTGTCATAAGGGTACTTTTACTTTTGGCGCCTTATGCAATGACTCATTCGTCTTAGCCCAACCAAACTCAACAGAGTAATACATGAAGGTTCAACCAATAGAACGCCACCTTCTTTCAACAAATGGCGCCACTAATACTGTCTGTATAGAAAAAGTTCGGATACTTTTGGGACACACCTTGTATATATGCCTCCGAGCTGTACGTTTACCAGCCAGTACTTTGTGACTAAGAATTTAGCAGAAATGAGCATGAGAAGACTCAATTCAGGGAATAAATAAGGATGGTTTTCCTAACAGATCCAAGATTCGAGCCGTGTAAAACCACGTTCACTTCAACAGTGACATACGAAGTTTGATCCAAAAATTTTGGTTCATGACTTGCCATTTTTGTGGGTTGGGGTCTTGGAGTTATTTGCGATAGTCACTTTTAAAGCAGCCCACTTGGGAGCCAGCACACTTCTGCCAGCAGTCCTGCAACTTCTGGAAGCACCTCATGAAACCTCTTTATTGGGATGGCTCAAAGTTCACACGCCGCCTTTCTTTCGATATTCTGAATTTGACATATCTTCGGCCTTTCAGATGTATTTTAAATTATGGAACAGGAAAAAAATCACAGCGCCAGATTTTTTTTTGCCTTTTCAATAGAGGAAGTTATGAGGTGCTTCCAGAAGCTGCAGGACTGCTGACAGAAGTGTGCGGGCTCCCAAGGGTACTACTTTCAAAGTGACCCCAGCCCACAAAAATGGTAAGCCATGGCCTAAGACTTTTGGATAAAATCTGGATGATGTTCCTCGTAGATGGCAGAGGACGAGGAGCTCGAGAACCACCAGACAGTATGGGTAAGGAAAAATTATTGCCAGGAAGTTTCGGGGTTCCTCACATATAACAGCTGGTTCCTTTCTTTTAGCTTTAGTTCTCCCGATTTCCGATCCTTGATATACAGATTCGCTCCCTTAAGTCTTGCCCATACGTCGCATCCAGTCCGAAACAGGAAACAGTTTCGTTGACGTAGAAGGCGGAGAAGTGCAATACAATTGGTTCATTTCCCTGTGTTGGCCTTAAGGAGGAGGGGGGGGGGGGTCCTACCCTTCCTGAAATTTGAGCTAGGGTGAAGGTTTTTCATAGATGTGGCATAGCGTTTCCCCGCCCTAGAGGGGCAGAGTCTGGCCTGCTCCCACACTGGGCGCCATTTTGATTCCTCCGTTTTCAGTCTCCCAGTTCTTTCTTCCAGAAAATGCTACAATTCGTGAGCAGACAAATTTTTGCCGAACAAAATGTCGTTGGACAAAATGTCGCCAGGAAAAAATGTCACCGCTGAGAAAATGGTGGTTCTGGTGTTTTATACACAAATGGCTGGAGGTTGAACTGGGATAGGCATAGGGAGGAAGTTTCCTTTAGGAAAAAGCTGAGTACCAAGTACAAGCTAATAATCATTCAATAAAGAACCACATGTATATATTCACAAATAATTCCAAAATGGGGAAATCAGATTACAGATGAAGTTCAATCACAGATTACAGATGAAGTTCAATGTATATGTTATTGTTCACGACGCGTCCAACGTTAGACAAAAATTGTAAAATTAGTCGGAAACCCTGTTTCCGGTACCTTAGTCGGAATTATTTTTTACAGTGTGGATGATCAGAATGTATACTGAAATTAGCTTTATTTATCCGTTAAAATGTTGGGATTGTTGGGTGCGGAGGTGCAAAAAAAAAACATTTGAGAGCAAAGGATTATGATCGGTGATGTTTCCAGGAGTGCATCTGATCACCTGATCATTTGGTAACGCGCATTGTAATAATTCCGACTAAGGCATCGGAAACAGGGCTTCCGACTAAGGCATCGGAAACAGGGTTTCCGACCATAGAGATCTTATATTTCATACCTAGAGTGGCTGGTGGCGCTAATGTAGTGTGAGGTTTGGAAGCCATGATAGCCGGGTCATCCATAGCCGGGTAGCGCCTACTTCACCATGCGTTTTACATGCTTCCTGGAGTCATTCTTTTGTCAGACCTAGTCGATACGGTTCGAGGAACTCTTGATTGACCAAACGTTCCACGTCCACGCTGAAATGGTACATGAAACTCGAATCGGTCTAAAATTACACGCCTTCTGAAATGGTTCGTGAGAGTCTGAATTGGCCTGCTATCGGCCTAACGTTCCACGTCCTCGACGAGATGTCGAGACCATGGATTGATCCTTATTGGCCTAATTGGCCACGTAAGTCGAGGATTGAGTTTCGTTTGAACGAGAAAAGGTGGGCTTAGGCCTGACCTGAAATAAGTTAATTGGTTAGGCCTAGGCTTGAGGTTGAGAGGGAAAGCCTTTGAAAAATGGTTTTCACATGACTTCATTCAAATATTATGTTGGCTACCTTGTCAGTACAGAACAGTGAAAAAGGTAGCTAAAGCTCCAGGGACGTCATTTGGTAAAACTGTAAAAAGATGATAGGCAACTTGGCAAAGAAGATAGGCAACTTGAAAAAATAAACACAGTTCAGCCGGAAATATTATCGCCTGCTTCAATTTCGTGAATTTACGAGATGTAATCAATCGCAAAANCCCCCCCCCCCCCCCCCCCCCCCCCCCCCGAAATGACGTCCCTGAAAGCTCTGGAGTAAAACCTCTTCTCTGGTCTGAAGGACCACATGTCCTAGCGTGCTTTCGATAGAGAGCTTCATGTGACTGCTTATCAGGAAAGTATTTGATGCATTTTTGCACATTAGAGGGAGGAAGTATGCCAGGGATATCACCAGAGAGTCTTAAGTGACTTGATCACAAATATTTTTTATGGCCATTACTTT